ACCATCACAGTGCGGGATATCGGTCTCATGATACCAAGTCAAAACCGAATCTTCTTCTGTGTGCTTATCGCACTGCCTTTCATAGCGATCCGGATTCTCTACAGTCTAATCAGTGACTTTGGGAACAATCATCAATTTTCGTTCGTCGACGGTGACGCCAGGATTCAACTGGTAATGGCCACCCTTGAAGAATTTGTCGTTGTTTTGATGTACACAATCTTGGGTGTGATTACGCCTAAGTCGGTCTCAAACTCTGGCATGACCGGTTCCCGTCAACAAGAGACATATCATGCGACTGAGGATACTAATGATGGCCGTCGTAGACAAGCTGATCACCCTCCATATGACGAAGTCACGTATGCCCAGGCGGCTGCTCAAGAGGCCTATAATCAACAATATGTGCGGCGGTAATTCTGGAAGATAGATGGTCGAAGGGTGTTGCTATGTTTGGTGATGTGATTAGCTGGGAAGGGGGATCTTGTCAATTCGAAGCGTTAGACTGTAGATATCTCTTATTATTACCGTCAATTTTGAGCCTGAAGTCGTCAAAATGTCTTTGTTTTTTTTTTGGTCTTTCTTAAAAAAGCATGATGTTGAAAGTTAATTTTCCTCAGCCTCTTGAACTACTCAATTTCATTTCGCATTCCACTATTCAATTCTCTCCTGTATATCATTGGTAATAAGTCATATGCACATTCATACCAGTTTGAGCTCTTGCGTAGAGACCATCTCTATCATCCAATAGCGGTGTTGTATAGTGTTGTTGCTGATTTATACTAGTAGCGTTCTTAGATGAATCTAGATTGTGGGCAATATACATGCTGCTACGGTTATCTCACGTCCTTGGCTTGTGTTCTTATAGTTAAATCCGTTAATTTACCAGGTTTCCATCTCTCTTTAAATCATTATTCAGTTGATTGTAAATATATAGAAGACTGGAAGCACAACGGGCATCGAGAATGTAACAAGACAAGCAATATCCTCAATAGCACAAGTAACATCTCACTATGTGGCATGGATTGGAGAGCCGTCTGGCGATATCCAGGCCCGGGAATCCATCCCATCCCGCAATAATTGTGCCATGGCCAACGCTTGATTGATTCCCATGGAATGTCCAATCTTCTCCAGACAACCAATAATCCATTTACGCAGCTCAGGAGATGCAAATCCAGAGTTTGCAGCAATCAACAGAGGCCACACCAGAGTGACACCTCCTGCCCCTGAGACCTCGAAACTAGGAGGGAGAGGCGCGGCACAATGGTTCTCTAAATTCATCATGTTCGTGCTGGGCAAAAAGGCTCCAAGGTGAGCTGCGTCTGTTTCTGAAGATGAGCTTCCCTCGGTGGATGGAAATGCGGGCATTGACATCCAGGGAGAAGGTGTGGCTGGAAATGAGCCCTCTGGATTTCCCGCAACAGGGTAGGATCCATGACCGGCGTTTTGGCTGGAAGATTCCCACTCGTAGGTATCCTCCATGCCCATGCCTAGATGGAAAGGCACACTGGCGCAGATGTCATCCACCAGTTGATGTGCAATCTGTCGGCTTTGAGTCGCAATAATTTGCTGCTGATGGAGGCCGCTGCTCCCCGGTGACGAATTCTCAAGTGCTTTTACAGCTTCGAGAAGCATTTCATGCATAAGGAGTCGCGCAGCGCGAGCATTGTTCCAAACGCCGCTTACAGAAAGATCGCGATACACATGATAACTATCGCCCCAAACGGTGCGGGTGATGGGCTCTCCGTCTACCAGCGGAACCTTGACTGTTTTATACCCCCACGAGGGAGGCGCGGTAAGGAGTATCGACATGAGGTCCGCGTCAAGATTCAGAGTACGGCGAATAATCTCGCTGGGTTGCGTGATACTGCCATCTTTAAGGGCTGCGCAAAAGTTGGTCAATTGGAGGACCACCCGGCTAACATCATCGATCATTCGGTCGCCTGGGTCACGGGATTGCTTTGCCTCTTCTGTGAGCCGGGTCATAGTTGGAGAGCTGTATTTCTCTTGGTATATTTGACTGATGCTCTGGGTAGTAATGTCAGAATATTGTTGGGTAGCCTATCCAAATGGCGGGAAACATACAATTTGTGCCCGTAGATTCGTGAACAAACCTAAACCCTCCGGTCGAGTCAATTGTTCTGAGCCTCGATGTTCAATTATCTTTTTGGCTCCGTCCATATGCTTGATCCATCGATCTATAAAAGAGCCATCGCTGCATGTCATTACCTTTATTAAAGAGCCCACGTTAGTAGAGCGGGATAAAAAAATGAATAATAAAACAGAAATGCAACTCAACACTTACCTCAAACATACCTAGTAATACCACAGCTGCCAGTGTATCATCTCTTTTGGATAGAACATGGTCTCTGAGCGCATGATTGGTCTGGGATAGTGCGGCCGTATACTCTTTCCTAGCTTGGAGCATCATTCGTGGAGAAAGACGAATGTTCGACAAGGCCGCTAATCCCACCGCGGCCAGCGCGGTGGTCAAAACGGGTGAATTCCGAGAGTCATTCATCAAAGGCAGCAGATAGGACATGTGGCCCCCGCAGGGACCACCGGACATGTAGTTCACGAAGAGATGGGCCCTTGCTAATTCCTGTATTGGGTAAATAAGACTGTTTCTTGGTGGAGCCACATTCTGAACGCTGCTAATGGAGGTGGTCGAGGTGGTCGAGGTGTTCGAGGTGCTAGTGGTGCTAGAGCCGCTAGTGGCGGCTGTGCGCTTTCTGCGTGCGGACTGTTGAGACTTGCGGATCACATCTTCACTTTGATCTCGAAAATTCCAGTCTAATGGATCTCGATATCCCGGACAATCCACTTGAGCTCGCATGCATTGGGTACATGATGGTGATCCTTGATCGCACTAGTGGGGCAAGTTAGTGAAGGATTTCCTTTTCTGGCCTCAACATTCATACTTTCAAGCGACGAGTGCGACAGCGCCCACAGGCGGGACTTGGCTTTCCACAATAAACCATATAGTGATGTCACAATATTGGCTGCGTAGATGCTGAGAGAAGAAATCGATACGTGGGTTGAGATTGAGATGAAAGAGAACCGATTTTTGGTAAGCACCTCGTTTTACAAAAAGTCATAGAGTTATAAGAGATTATATTATGATTCTCCCCCAATAAGCAATATTTCAAGCCATCCAAGAGAGAAAAAGGCTCGGATACGAGAACTACGCCACTTGACTCAATGCGGTCAGCAGCTCGTCAACCCCCTGCTAGGGCTGCATACACTATCCCTGCACTATAATTCTGTATACTTCAATTTAAACTATATAGCTATATTAACTATGATCTACAGACTACTCCGTACCTATTCCCATGGTTTACTATATTCTAATTATATCATTCGAAACAAACCGGTTTTCTCAACCGTTCCCCCCTTTTTTTTCCGCCGTTTTGTTTTAGCTTACTGGCTTAATATAAGCTGCCCCAAACATACTAACGGGAACAGGACGGTCCTAACGGTTTCACCCTCCTCAGTAGCCGATAAAACTGCCTTGATAGTCTTTTCTGGGAATTTAGCTCCATTTCCCTATGTCGATCTCTATTCCGAATGTCTTCCGAAGGACATTATTCCCGTTTACCCCTGAGGATTACCCATGTATACATATATAGCATCTGTCCTTTTTCTACTATATTTCATTTCTAAACACGCTAGTCTCTCACTTCATTCTTTTCCTTGAAAGATGACTGGATCCACCACTATTCTCTTCGTTCCAGGCGCATGGCACAGCCCTGACTGCTATGATCCAGTGGTGCAACGACTTGAAGCAGCAAACTACATAACCGACAAAGTCCATTTACCCTCAGTTGGTCCAGCCGAGCATCACTTGAGCTTTGATGCAGATGTTGCACAAATTCGCACCGAAATCGACCGAGCAGCGGATGCTGGGCAGAAAGTCGTCGTGGTTGTTCACTCTTACGGTGGCTTGCCTGCAAACGAGGCAATCAAAGGTCTAGACATCAAGACACGCCAGCAAAATGGTTTGATTGGAGGTGTCACCCATCTATTCTTCTGCGCTTCGTTTGTCATTAAAGAAGGAGATTCGCTGATTGGTGCTTTCGGTGGAAATGACCTGCCATGGTTCATCGTTAGCGACGACAAGTTGGAAATCAATCCTGCCGATCCGGAGACAACCTTCTACCACGACTGTGATGCCGGCCAGATTGAGGCTTCCATTGCCGCCCTGAAACCTCACAGTTATCAGACCCTCCACAGTCCTTGCACCTATGCCGCGTGGAAAGACGTACCTAGTACCTACTTGTACTGTACTGAAGATGCTGCTATTCCCCTGGTGGTGCAAAAGGGAATGGTTGAAGGAACCGCGCATGGAACTGGAATGAGGACAGAGTCGGTGAACGCATCGCACAGCCCATTCCTCAGTAAGCCTGATGAAGTTACTGCGGCGATTCGGCGGGCTGCTGGGGAGGTTGTTTGAGCTTTGGGGTGGTTTGTAATGTGTTGTGGTTCTACGTTTGGATATTTATGAATGAATAGCATTTGATTTTAGCATTGAGAAATCCTACTTGAATTGTCAAATTGATCTATAATGTGAATTCCAGTCATACTCGTTCAGATAGTTGATGTATAGGCGGATATCAAAGCGGGAATTATCCCGTGACAATGTACAAGGATGCGCTACATGGAAAAGTATATATCTGACATCTAATAATAGTTGTATAGTGGACAAATTCTCTTCTTGAATTCCAGCCAACACGAAATGGTTTCCCCTTCCGGTCAGCGATTCGGTGGCAAGTGAGTCATGGTGACATCTTCAGCCCTAGAGGCTACATAGTCTGGGGTGATGTGCTTATCAATTTATTATTTTAATGGATAATCCACATTCCTTTTTTGTCTAATATTAATGAAAAAGTAGAGAGAGATATATATATATATATATATATATATAAAGTATAAACCCTCAATTATCCACAGGTGGCATTGACCAGAGCTACCCTGACTTTATCTCTCTTCAACCTCAATATCAAAAAATGTGGCCATCCGATAACCCAATCTCAGCCTATGGCCTCACAGCTGTTCTGTCATCAGCTACTACTCTTCTCGCAACCGATCCACCAGCAACGCCTGCTCCATTCATTGCAGTGACCGAAGTCCCGACTCCAGAAACGCCTCTCACCCAGCGGATCAATGAGTATGCAAAGTCTCATCTTCCTGAGCCGACATACAATCATTCCCTTCGCGTTTATCATTTTGGGCTTGCGATTAAGCGGTACAGGTTCCCTGAATGGGCCTTCACCGATGAAACATACTTCCTTGCCTGTCTGCTTCACGATATCGGAACAACCCAAGATAACTTGGAGGCCACTAAAATGAGCTTCGAATTCTTTGGGGGGTTGAAAGCACTGGAAGTTCTGCAGAACCTACAACCTTCCTTTGTAGGAGGCTCGGTGGCAGTCGCCCCGAAAGATCAGGCAGAGAGCGTGGCAGAAGCAGTTATGCGGCATCAAGACTTGTGTGAAAAGGGCAAAATCACAGCTCTCGGTCAACTGCTTCAGCTGGCAACAATCTTTGGTACGTTGGCCCTCTATCAAAGTCGATTGTGTTGACATAAGTTGAACCGCGACCAAATGCCATACTACTATTCAATAAACTGACTTATTGGAAAACAGACAACACTGGCTCATATGCCAATCTCATTCATTCCTCAACTATCCAAGATGTTTCTAGCCATTTCCCTCGTCTGAGATGGAGTGGGTGCTTCGCTAGTACCATTCATGAAGAGAATCGGCTCAAGCCCTGGGCACACACAACGACACTTGGCGAGGAAGAATTCCCCAATAAGGTGCTAGGAAATACTCTTATGGCATCTTATGAATGATGGTATCTCAAGGATTCCCGAGGACTAATTGTATGCGTATGATTGGTGCTTATCATCAAGCTTTACGAGCTCCTAGCCATTAACAATAAACACCGACAACCGAGAACAATTGAAAAGTACAATAAAAATGAGTATTTTGCTTTATTTGAATCCCTAAAGTAGCAAAACTGGCCAGTTGGTGTAGAGATGGGCGAATATCCGAACTAGATATCTCCCGCAAATTCAGACGAAACACCTTCATGGACCCTCCAAAGAAGCCAAACATGCTTCAAGTCATCCTCGCCACCTTCTTTCTTCTCGTACCATTTTATTTCATATACAAACCCCCAATTCTGCTCATTCATTACTGTCAACGTCGCTGGCCCGACGTGCTCTTCCGCGTAGACACAAACAAGAAAGTGGTTGTGTTGACGATTGACGACGCGCCCTCCATACACACACCTGCAATTCTTCGTCTATTGCAATCACACAATGCAGCTGCAACTTTTTTCTTGATAGGATCCCAGATCCAAGGGCATGAATCCGTCTTGGCCGACCTCGTCCGAGCTGGCAACGAACTCGCCAACCATGCCATGTATGATGAGCCATCGCGTGCCCTCAGCGACGACGTTTTGGCAGATCAGATCCGAGCAGTCCATGACAGAATCCAGGAAGCATATGTTGCAGTTGGGAATACTTCACAGCCTGAAAATTGGCTCTTTCGCCCTGGCTCGGGATTTTTTAGCTCCCGGATGAGAACTCTTGTAAAAGAGCTGGGATATCGGCTAGTGCTCGGCGATGTGTATCCGCATGACCCACAGGTGCCATTTTGGAAACTCAACGCGAGTCATATTCTGAGTATGGTCAAACCAGGGAGTATTATTATCTGTCACGATCGGAGAGAGTGGACCATGCCTATGTTACAGAAGGTGTTGCCGGAGCTGAATCGCAGAGGATACCGCGTTGTCACAGTCTCCGGGTTATTGAAAGAGACTGGTTCAGATTGAGGTTCAAATTGATGGCGGAATAAATATTGCGGGCTATGAATTTACATGTTTTTCTCGAAACGCTATGGGTATATTCGGACACTAATCTCGACAGGCTAACCCATCATCTGCAATTGATCCTCCGGGGGCCAGCGGACTTGCGCAAAGCTCAAGCAGCGCTTGATACTCTGTAGATACTTGCGGGTAATCTCGTCACTCAGAATGTGTGCCTGCTGATCACTCTGATGCAGCTTCTCTCGTGCAGATCGCTCGTGGATACCAACCATGGTCACACCGATGGGCCAGGCTCTATAGAGATGTTAGCATCATTCCCAAATTTACCAAAATTTGGGGGGTGGGGGGGGTGGTTGACATACGCTTTACCGATGCTCACTCGTAGATAGGCATCATTTGCATCGACGTATCGCCGCTGCTGCGCCTTGTGCACGATCTCCACAATCGGTTCTAACAGTCCGTCCTCCAAGTCGGACTTCTCAAAGAGGCGGAACAATGGTGTCATGTTTTCGCGCGATTGTGTCATGGCATTGAATGCTTGTTTTCCCTGGAAGCTTTCCCGCACCGAGACGTCACGCTTTGCTAGTGCCAGCTCCCATTCCGACAAAACCATGTTGAAGTAAGATCCCAACTGTCGGAAAAGGAACAGACGGTTCTCTTGGTCCTTCGGAATATTGGCCGGAATGATCATCTGCCCACCAGGTACTGGCTCCAAGGTGGTGGGGATAGGACCGTCGGTCACCTTCTTCTTGGGAACAGCCGCTCGTTGAACCAGACGACGGTATCGTCGAAGACGGGTTCGATAGTCCTCTCCGAACAATTTTATTGGCGCATTCATCTCTCGTAATTTTGCAACGAGCTCCTCCTCCTCGATATCTTCCTCATCGTCACTGTCGGCTGGGGTGTCCTCAGGTAGATCAGGTAGACCGAGCCTGCGCCGCCGTTCACGTTCCTTTGCTCGTTCTTCTGCCTCTCTCCTCGTCTTGGACTCCTCGGCTAGTCTTCGCTTCTTCTCCTCGCGTTCTCGGTTCCGATCCGCTTCTTCGTCTTCGAGCTTGCGCTTATTCGCCATGCGCTCTTCACGTTCGCGTGCAAGTCGCTCTTGCTCTTCGTTGTAAGCTTCAATTCGGGCAGCTTCGACATCGGCTCGTCGTAGGTATTTCTTTGTCGGTACTGCGGGGGAGCCTTTCCCGGTATCTTTGGCAGATGGCTTGGAGGAATCGCTACCTTTGGCCTTGGAAATTTCCTTGGACATCAACGCGGCGAAATCCATGGTGGCGGGGTGATGCGGCAACCTGCTTGAAAAATGCGACTGTAGCTCAAGGCAAAATTATGTAAACAGTAAATAAGGTCGAGTTGCGTCAAACGACGAAGATGGGTGTGGAGGCAGATGGCAGGAAAAGAATGTTCGGCACGTCAGAGAACCCGCAGCTTTTCGACGCCGCATTTGTCTCTTCCAGTCAACTCCCCCTCAACCAAAATACCCCAAACATCTACCTTCGAGGACCTCTATCCAAGCTTTAATTTACTTTCCAGTCATCGCATTCTCCATTATCTTCTGCTTTCTCCCCGTCCTCGGGCCTCCAACCTCTAATTTTCACCGTACCATCCATCATGGCCGCTCCGTCGCGAGATGGCCCCAAACCCTCGATCAACCGCCAGACCACAGCACCTTTCCATTTGAAGCTCTTCTACCGAGTTAACAACTACAACCCTCTATCTGACTATAGCATCCCCGTGCAACCTCGTCGCGGAGGACCAGTCAGCGGACCAAATGCCATTCGTCCAACATCGCCTGTCGCATCTGCAGCGCCGCTTCCACCACATCTAGAGATCTACACATGGCAATCATGCACACTTCGCGAGCTCTCACAGCTTCTCACCTCTGCTCTTCCATCATTACTCCCTGATCCGCCCGTTGGCACCCGTCTCTGCTTCCGACTGATTTACCCCGACGCACGCGGCGCGGCAATGGGCGGCCCCGATGCGCGTGGCCGATACTTGAGCAGAGATTTAGGCAGTGCTATTGTTGGCCCGAGAGATAGTCCACTGCGCGCAGAAGACGACGAAGATAAGGAATTACGACCTCGCACTGGCCCGCTCCGCTTCCAGGGCTCCGAAGCCGACAGACCCCTGCAGGATGCCCGTTTCATCGTTGGTGACTACATTGAATGTGCAATTCTCGCACCGCTCGAGGACGGATCTGTTGCGCCCGCGCTCAATGGCGCATCAGGTCCGATCATGGGACCCAGAGGTGGGGGTGGGGGTGGGGGTGGCATGCGTGCGTTCCGGGATAATGGCCATCCTCGTGGGCCTGGTCGTGGTGGACCTCGTGGAGGTGGCGGTGGTGGACCTCCCCATATGCCCCGAGGCGATTGGCACCGTGGGGAGCGATTGCCTGAAGGTGCACGCGGAGGCCGTCGTGGATGGGCACCATACTGAGAAGGGCGAAGAGAAATCCAGTTCAAAAGCAAGTTTGTCAAAAGGGCGATGAATACCCATGTTGAGACATTGTATGATTACCAAGTTTAGTACCAATGGAATGAGTGCCATCTACTACATGCAGTACCATTAAAACATAAGACTGGTGTCCCTCCTTCCTCGGCGGTCTACCACTACCAAAGAGGCGAGGCGACTATAGCTTAAAGCATCTTAACATTATATGTTCTACGAGAAATCTACATATTAAACCTTTGAAGAATTCGGCCTCTTCAATCGCTGTGAGTAGCTAAGGTTGACGGGCCTTTTATGCTGTTAGTCATGTAAAAACATACATCTCATTCTTGAGTAACTATACGGCATCCTGATATTTACTACGCACAAGCATATCAAGTAAGATTGAGTGTGTAGTAAATACTAGTAAATGCTTACCAGCTATTACCATGACCTCCAGACAGGTGGCCGGGCAAGTAGGCGCCTATCAAAAGTCCCGAATAGCAACAGACAGTCATTTGAATGGATGATGACCATCTTCTAGGTGAAATGCTCCGGGGCTTTAGGTTTGGCCTTGGAAATAAACCCCAAGTTTCACGATCGTGAACGAAGTCAACAAAGTAAAGAAATCCATGCGGTATATGCTTGTAATAAAGTACAGGGCCCACGCAACGGGCACCGGCACAAGAGAAAAGAGTCGGGCAAAATTCCCTCGACACGAGTATCTCCACCCTCTCAGTGTAGTTTTCCATGTCGCGTCATGTCACAGTCACTGCTCGGTACGGGGTTGATAACAAAACAGGAATTGAATTATGGCATTCATCGCTAAATGTCTACCACTCGGAAATCGTATCTTCCCTGCGCTTGCCACGGAGCTCGTACTTGCCCTGCATATTGTTAGCGCGTGTTTGCCCGCGGGATTGGACCACAATCGCAATCCGGCCAGTGTGTCATTCCATACCTCGTACTTGTAGGCGAAGTAGCCTAGGACGCCGGGGATCAGGCCCATGTAGACGAACGAGAGCATGGCATGGCGCGGGGTCCAGCGCCAGTACTTGTAGCGGTTGGCGTTGAGTTCTGTGGGTCCGTTAGTCAATCTTCAATCGAGAGTATATGTCGTATCGTAAGGTGCTGGATTCGTGAGAGCTGCTCCAGATAGCTTGCATGTACGCTTGGGATAGCGTAATGCGCGAGGTTCATCCGGAATCCTGGATCTTGGGAGATGGGGTTGGGGGGCATGTACCATAGTATTTCTGGAGGGCCGGGTCAAGGATCAGAGCTGGGGCAATGGGTTAGCAATCCATGCCATTATACTCATGGGACTCTCAAAACTCACACTTGCTAGGACCAGCCATTGTTGCGGAAAGCGTAGAAGCGTGGACACAGAATAGACGACGCTTGCAAGCGTCGCCGGGATTGAAGTTGAAGGTCACATGATGATGAATCAGCTGAATGACGTAATCAGATTTGGGGTTCTCAGACTTTATACTACGATGAGCTACAGTTGCACCTTTCAAAGATAACCAATATGCATATTATTGTATTCCTATCTTCATTCATCCTTTTTATCCTTGCTGGATATTCTCATTGTCAATGTCTGTGGTTGCAAAGGTGTGCAAGCATATCCGAGGTCATCCGCCAACCAAATGTCCTCCATATCTCAGCACTGACACAGCATGGGTATAAATAAGAATAATTTACAAAAGTCCATTGCGCCATTTCCCATGACTTCTAAATTACATAGAAGCTGAGAATTTCCCCTCGACTTCCTCAATCTTCTTCACGGCACGCTGGTACCCCTCATTTCTCTCGAGGCGTTTGGCATACTCGACAAGAAGAGGGTATTTACCCTTGTTCTTCTCCTCCTTCAGCGATCGCATAGTAACAGCAATTACTGGGAAACTCAGCAGAATATCGGCAGCTGTCAGCTCCTTGCCGCAAATGAACTCGCCACCCTCGGGAGATGTGCGGAGCTGCTCCTCAAGGAAGGAGAGGTTACCCTCAACGTTGCGGGTCAGGAACTGATTCTCAACTTGCGAGGCAACAATGCTGGTGATAGGCCGAACAAAGAATGGTGGGGCGTTCCGAATGGCTGTTGAGAATGTCAGCAGTGTGCCCCCAAGGTTGGGTTATCAACGCCATGCGAGAATTTACGAGTGGACGCTCTTACGGAAAGTGACTTACAGTCATTGACGAGGGTCATCACCAAGAAAGGCATCAGGCTACCCTCCACGTAATGCATGAAGTAGCGATAGCGCATCCATTCCTCGGTCTCTCCGCCCACTTTACCCTCGCTGCCGGGCGTGTACCGTTGTGGTACTAGCGTCGGTCGCGCGCTACTAAAGTGGTCACAGAGATATTCCACAATCGCACCAGACTCCGCTAATACTAGCGGTTTGTCGACGCCTGGTGCCTGGATGGTGATCACAGGTGACTTGCCCAGCGGGTGAATCTCCTTCAGCTCAGCAGGAGCGAGCTTGTCAGCGCGACGCTTGAAGATCTTGAGCTCATATTCCAACTGCAGTTCTTCCAAAAGCCAAAGGATTCGGTGACTTCTAGATTGCTCGAGCCTGGAATGTGGGTTAATATGATTTTGAAGAGACTGCGAGGGGAGCGTACCAATAGAGAGTAATCTTGCAACCTTGATTGTTAGCCATGTTGTTATAATCTTATGATCCTATAGATATGACAATGGAAAACTACAAGTCAACAAAGATGAGCGCTGGAGGAATATAAGAGTTATAAGTACCCGCACGTGGATGATGTCAAGATGGCCCGAGGCTTCCAAGTTTATTTCCCAGAAGGGATAAAGCCCCGAGCTGCGGATCTTCTGTTCCTGAACAAATCTGATTAGATGCAACATTCTAGGCCGATAACTAAAGCAATCAGATCATTCTACAATGATTATATCGTGTGAAAACATATTACTTGGTGTAGCGACTATCATCCATCTACCTCAGTCAGCCTGACAATCGTGGCTCCCCAAGATCACAGATAATACATACTTAGCATCTCCGAAATAGGGCTAAGTTAACCGGAATAGGTCCGTTCCTGAGGCCACTCCATATATGTCTTATGGAGGACCCGAATTGTAAAATTGGGAACTAGACTAGTCAAAATTACACCCTCTCCATAGATCTACATCTTATTACCCCTCACACAGTTTTCAGCCTATGCTACCAGGGGTTTATGCACATGTCCGTGTTGATATTCCCCGCACTACCGAGGTTTCGTTAGTTATATATATATATATATATATGTCGTATATAAACTATTCACATCGGCAGATAAAGAAGCAATGATGTGAGAAGGACCTGAATCGCCCGAGGCTTCACACATAATATAGTCGCCTACATTCCGTCATATTACAGGAGGGCGTAAACTCCATTTGGAGAAGCGCAAGGCTAGTTTCCAGTCCGATCTACATGAGAAGAGCCCTCAGAATTATCCGTGGCGGTCAAAAGTATATGCCAAGCTTAAATCACAGACCATGAAGGAGTCTAAGCTATAGGGATATAATTATTCAAACTTATGATAAAAGCTTTTACAAGACCCCTCTTCCAGAGTTGCGTCATAAGTCATGGTTAAAGGCGGGTTTATCAAAGGAGTATAGTTAAAAGCAGAAGATTTCCAAATGAAGTTCCATCTTCATTTCGATGCCTCATGACCCCCAATAATCACTTGTCTCTCGCATTCCCCAAATTCAATTTGTTCGTTCGCACCAGAAGGTCCAGCTGGTGCACGCGGCGTATCGCGAACTGCGACTGGCCACCAAGCAACGATCCTCAGCGGGCGGTTAGGGCACGTGCATAGATCAGCGTATAGATCAGACCCCGGGGTGTATGCACTTGGATGTGTAAAGGGGTTGTTCACTGTTCGTGACTTTACACTGTTGGCTTCAAAACACCTTTGCATTCCCTCAATATTCGAATATTGTACTCATGTCTCACAATGACCGAATACACGCCTCTCCTCTCTTCGGAGGACGCGAAGCGCGAAGGGTTCCATCTCGATTTCCCTAGTACCCTGCGTGGCAAGAAGATCCTCCTCACCACAGAATCATGGGGTCCTGTAAATGGGGTTAGTCGCACAACGTGTAGTTTGGTCGAATATCTGCGCGACAACGGCGTGGATCTCATTCTCGTCGCGCCCAACTTCAAAGGTCAATCGTCCGAGCAGAAGACCTGGGAGCGTCGTCTTCCTGGCTGTGTGCTGCCCTACAATCCAGATCTCACGGTCGTCTATCCTTTCCATCTGGATAACCTCTTCAGTCAGTCCTTCCAGCCAGACATCATCTACCTCGCCAGCCCGGCCTCGCTTGGTTTTCAAATGCTGCTGCAAATCCGCCAACTGCGCTGTCCTCCGCCGGTCTTACTCAACTTTCAGACTGACCTGTCCGCCTACGCGGAAATCATGTTGCCTGCACCGTTGGACAGATTCGGCGTATGGCTCCTTGTAACAGTTCAGGGGTTTCTCTTCCGCGCCCGCGCTGTACACACAATATTTTATCCGTGCTCTGCGATTCGCACATATCTAGAGTATGCGTGTGTGCCAGTCGATCGGCTGGTTCGGCTGGGACGTGGCGTTGACACGCTTCTCTTCTCACCCACACAGCGCGACGAGTCATACCGCCGTAACATTGCACCTCATGGCGAAATCATCTTGATATGCGTTTGCCGCATCGCCCTAGAGAAAGGATTCGAGTTTCTCGCGCAGGTCGTGCAACGGCTAGCCGCAGACAAACTGCCCTTCAAGCTACTGGTTGTCGGCGGGAATCGCAATCTAGCTGTTGAGGATAAAGTCCAGCGCCTGTTTGACGGGGTTCGAGACCATGTCGTCTTCACTGGAGTTCTCACCGGATCTGCATTGTCTCGTGCATATGCTTCTGCTGATATGTTCCTTCATTGCTCTATTACGGAAACATTTGGGTTGGTGGTCCTCGAGGCCATGGCTAGTGGTGTCCCCGTCATCGCGCGAGATCAAGGTGGGCCCTCTGATATTATTCGTCACGGACAGACTGGCTATCTGGTTCCACCGCGCGATTTAGAACGTTTTGTTCATTTGGTCAAAGAGGTTTCTCTTGACCCAACACGGCGAGCAAAACTGGCGGCGGCAGCCCGCCAGTACGCGGATGATACCACTTGGGAGAAGATCAACTGTCGGGCAGCGTGGCAAATGGCCGAGGCATTGTCATGTACTGACCAGGAATCCCAGGGTGCTCGGCTAGTCATCCAACCTGGGGTAATTGGGCGGGTCTTTGAGCAGCTTCGTCTAATGCTTGCTGTGGGGATTGTTTGTTTTATGTGGCTGATCTCTGTGATCCCACTGATCGTTCACGGAAATCGTCTTCTTCCCCGAGCCAGGCGAGCTATTCAGGGTCAATTCCAGGGGACTCGGCCATTGCGCAGTTGAAATGTATATTGATACCAGACTATGCTTGAATGCCTACTTACATGATATTGATGATGAAATGCTATGTAGGTTAAAGTGTTCTATTTGGTAGTTTGCTCAATTATTAATGCATCCATGGATGGGTACTTCATATCCAGATATACTTATTGGACTTCCTTTAGAGCCTGACCGGCTCTGTGTCAACGGGAACTAATACATGTCCCTCCGTAACCAAGGAGTTCTTGCACGAGCGGGCCGAGACCAAATCAGACAGATTGCCGAGTGTAACCTCGGCGATTTCCGCGAGGGCCTCGCGCGTGAAGAACCCCTGGTGACCACAAATCAAGACATTGTGGAAGGTCATCAGGCGCATTAGCACGTCGTCGTCGATGATCTCCCCGGAGTGATCATTGTAGAAAAGCTCGCCTTCTGCTTCGTAGACATCCAATGCCAACCCGCCCAGCTGCTTCGTCTTTAGCGCCTGAATGACCGCTGTGGTATCGATGAGCCCACCGCGCGAGGTATTGACCAGTAGAGACCCTGGTCTAATGCGCGCCAATGTCTCTTCATTGATGAGATGCTTTGTGTTCTCCGTGAGGGGACAATGCAGACTAACAATGTGGCTCTCCTTTAGCAGGGTGTCGAGGTCGACTAGCGTTCCGTACTGGCGGAACTCTTCGCCGGCAAAGGGGTCGTGCGCGAGTAGTCGGCACCCGAAGCCGTGGAAGATGCGCGCGGCTGCAAGCCCGATGCGCCCCACGCCGATGATCCCAACGGTCTTACCATGTAGAGTATTCCCGAGGAGACCTTCGATGTTGAAGTTGCCCTCGCGCACCCGATTATATGCGCGGTGAGTCTTACGATTCAAGGTTTGGATCAGGGCTACTGCGAACTCCGCCACAGCTTCGGGGGAGTATGCCGGGACATTCGCCACAAAGAGGCCTAGCTCTTCGGCAGATGCGAGATGGACATGGTTAAACCCGGCGCAGCGGAGCAGGATGGCACGGATCCCGTAGGCATGGAGGGCTCTCAGAACGCGCTCGTCCAGCGTGTCGTTGACAAAGACGCACACCGCATCGCAACCTTGAGCTAGTGGCACAGTCTCCTCAGACAGCGCGAAGGCATGGTATTCGATGGTGCACAGCTGGGGGAAGTGCTGCTCGCGCACTTGGTCTAGATAGGTGCGATCGTAGGATTTTGCGCTAAATACCGCCAGCTTCATGATTGCGCAATCGTATGTGTTGTGATCTAGGGGTTTTGATATTGAACTATAATTGCAAAGTCATGACGACATGGGTGTCTTCGTATGACGCCTGCAACCGGCCATTTTGGTTAGTATACTTTAGGTACTTCCCCAGGTTTCCTACTGCAACCTCCCGCATTCCAGTGCAGACCCAAAGTACATAGCCTATGTTGGTCTTTTCAACCCCGAAATCGTGAAACCGGAATTTGACCTATACAACATTGGAATATGTACCTCTCCTACTTAATTAGGTAGTGATTTGTTCCGGTAGTATGTATCAACCAGGAGTAGGTAAAATGGTAATGCAGTTCTAATGGTAACTTCAATTTCTCTTCCAAGGTTCTAATTTCACCTTATTTTCTTATTCTCTTATTTACTTCAGATTGAACCTTGAAGATCTACGGAGTAATGGACCTTTGACCTCGGTAAGCCAAAACCAAAATGCCCACAACTTCCCGAGGTCTTCTGGATGATTACTTTTTTCAGACATGCAGACCATCCAGATAATCTTCCATTTTTGTTTTATTTTCATTCCCTTCGATTTTATTGGATATAATCGGGCTCTGACTTCCGCGGGGCTCCGGTAGCCGATGGAAGTAACCTTGGAACGCCAATAGGATGGCCGAGATCAAAATAGGCCAATCATCGCTCGATGATAAGAAGAGACGCCACGAGCTATCTAATTGGTCATTAACTCCACGCTAGTGAACCTAAGGATTTCCGAGGAAGGAGCGACATTTTCCCTTTTTTTTTTTCCCCCAGGGTGTCTTAGATAAATGAACTACAAATTGCTAGCATGTTACATTGTTATTATTGGATTATTTAGATGCATTATTTTATAGTGTCTGTACAGAGTATAAATGAGAATTGTAGGGTCTTGAACACAGTATGTATAATTATGGTTACAAAGTAGATCGGAATATCCTTCCAAAGGTTGACCCCAAAGGTTGACCCATTGCGGATTTAAGTGGAGAGAGAGGGACCGCAAAAGGAAATCCGTCACTGGGGCATAGAAACCGGTCT